GTTGTGATACTATCAAATTTTGAATCTAACGATCGGAGTTTTTTTCCTATTTTAGCCACATCTTCTAACTTCTCACCATTTCTTTTTAGTTGATTGGAAATTGTAATGACTCTAGAAAAGTAATCGGAGACCAACTCGCCTTCTTTCATATGCAAAACATCAAATTGGCTTCTTAAAGTTTGAAGTCCTACCTTTTTAACCTTCTCTTATCCCTTATACGAAACCTCGAGCTTCTTCCATGCTAGTTTGGCCGAAGTAGCACTTGAGATCTTCTCAAAACCATCTTCATCTAAAGCTTGATAGATGAGGAAGAGAGCCTTCTTGTCTCTCTTTCGCAAGTCTCGTAAGTTATCCTTTTGTGTTGTGGATAGAGCAGACTCATCACTTGGCTCATCGTAGCCTTTCTCCAAGGAGTGCCTTCATCTTGATACTCCAATTGTCGTAGATGCTTTCCTTAAGCATCGAAACTTGGAAGGAAACCATGTCACCGTTTACCATTGCTCTATAAAGGAACCTTTAGGCTTTGATACCACTTTGTTGGAATGGAGAAACCTTTTGGATATGACAAAGGCTAAAAACTTATGGAAGAATCTTCACTCTTATTTATCACCTGAACTTGATTTTATACGACTCAAAGACTCTACCCCTATTTATACTAGTGACACCTTCTAAATTAATGGCTAGGATTGTGCCACCAAAATTCTAATCCAATGGTTACAAATAATTACATACCTATCACACAATAATTCCACACCTACCACACCTACCACACAATAATTTCATACCTACCACATATTTTAGAATAAGCTTCTAGAACTTATGCTTTATTTAAACAACTAAAATCAAGTTTATATTTCAACACTTTGATCGACAAGGAGGATAAGGAGGAGTAGCATGATTAAATTTTATTGTTTTTCCTATATGTGTTGAATTATTTCTTTCAGTTATGTTGTGAAAATTATTATTCTTTTCTGGATGATTTTTTTATTATTGTGTGTTGAAAAATTTATGGCAATAGAGTGATAATTTAACACCTTAGCGGTGCACGATGATCCAACACACACAAATAAAAGAAAAATTTTGGGAGGAGAACCAAATTCTTACGTGAAAAAACCCTTAAAAGAAAAAAAAAAACTAGAGATGCAGCCTAGTTAAAGTAATCTACTATATGTTTGTAAGTACAAAGATAAACACTTCTCTCATAATAGAGACAACTATGTTATAATTTTACACTGAAAACTACACTTATCTCTATATAGCTCAAAAAATACAAGTGTTATGAAATTCAACAAAATTATAGTTTGGCTATAATTACACCTGTAAGCAATGGTCATTAATGGCTAATGGTCAATGGTGCCTGATGGTGATAATAGCTAGCGATCAATGGTGGTCGGAGGATATGAAGGTCAGTAAACAATGGTGGCTTGGGGCCACGGAGGTCGACGGCTACTCACCGGTCTTCTCTCTATAACAAATGTTTAAAAATTCTTCGTTTTCTCATCTTCTTTCCCCTCCCAAGTAAAGAGAAGGGACTATTGATAGTTTTTTAAGGTGGGGCATTTTGGTATTTTGGTGCATAACTTCTTAAGCATTTGATTGGACAGTTCATGTTGATCGACATTGATCATAGATGATATTTTAAGGATTGAGTGCTTTAATAAAATTGAAATTGAGCGATCTTGTGCTCGTTGAATTTCTTTCGTCGGGATGCTTGATTCAACTATAAATATGTCAAATTTAGAGTTCATTTAATCATTCAATTGACGATCCAAAGTATCAAATTGTATTTCAACTGCTTGATCTGGGCTTGATTGGCCTTGGGATTGAACCAATTTTTAGTCTTTGCATTCGTCTTTTCATGACAATCAGTTTGAATATTTAAAATTAGGTCCTGAATTATTTTGAATTTGAATTTAACCTATTTATTGCTAAAAATGCATTGAGATTCATGACTGATCATATAATTTTTGATGATATAACTATTATACTCATTATCACATTCAATTTCATTGTTTATACGTTGTTATGAGATATTATGAATGTGAATATTAATATTTTGTTTTATAATTGCAGGTGTGTAAAATTTCATTTGATATGGACCTTTTTTTCTACTATAGGCTACCAGTTGATTAGCTGCAGAAATTTTAATAGCTAAATTCAACCGCTAATTAGTTAAAAATTCAACTGCTAACTTTTGGGATGAAATAGGTGTTGTTAATCAACCGCAATATTAACGATTGATCTTTTTCGATCGAAATTATTTTAACAACTAAATATTCATCCACTAATCCACCATTTAACTCTAGCAGCTAAATTAATCAATTGATAGTCTAGACCAGCTGAAATAATCAGGCGACACTGCTTTTCCAACAAAGATTTTTCTGGCTGAGATAGATCAACTATTAATCAGTCGGTATTCTAATTTACTCCCTGATTTTTCAGCTGGTAATCAGTGAAAATTTTCTATATTTAAAATTAGTATGAAAGTCATACGCAGGAGGGTAAAAGTTCGTTTGGGTCATCAAGAGGAACTCATCTTGGATTAATACAACCTATCATACCCTTAGAAAAGCTCATAAGAGGTCACTCTCCCAGTCAATAGGACCTACTCACCTCAATGTCCCCACAGTCGAATATTTCTGTGTCATTTCATACCTTATCGACATAATTGATGATTTTTTTAGTTCACTCATTGATAAACCTACCGACTTGTACTCATTGATAGGCTAATTATGGTGTTCATGTAGCTATAAATGTCAAATCATGTGTTATTGGGATCTAAGTATTGTCACTCATTGATAAACCTACCGACTTGTACTCAAAAGTTGAATTTAGCTTATTCAGCTAATGCATAATTTAAATGTTTTTGTCTTGATTATTATTATTATTATTATTATTA